AAGTCTGTGAAAGACTGACATTAATTGCATTATTTTTTTGCAATCCTCAGTGCTTTTTGTCCTTTGCATTACTGTACATTTACAATGTTTTCTTGTGTTTTGCCATCAGCTTTAAGACTATCATCCAGTACATTGATAATCAGTTTGAGCGCTACCTGCATGATGAGAGTGGCCTGAACCGCAGACACATCGTGGACAACAGAGTTCACTGCTGCTTCTACTTCATATCTCCATTTGGACATGGGTAAGTCTGTCAGGCATGGCTTCTGCTGAGGGAAAAATAAAAACTTTAATTTTTTAGCATTTAAAAGCAACAACTAACTATTCTAAGTCTCATTTTGTCTTTGTAGTTCTGTATCTGACTGTCTGTCCTTGTAGACTGAAGCCCCTGGACGTAGAGTTCATGAAAGCCATCCACAGCAAAGTGAATATTGTCCCTGTCATCGCCAAAGCCGACACTTTGACGCTGCGAGAGAGGGACCGCCTCAAGCGGCGGGTGAGTGAGTGTGTATGCATGTGCATGTGCGTCTCATTCCCACACAAACATGGCAGGTGAGGAAGTAAATGCGAACATACACTCATGTTTGCGTGATTGTTATCATTAATAAAATTCCTGACACTTTGGCCTAGAGACAACTATGCAAATGGGCTATTAGCCATGTGGATCATGTGTTGAGGGCAGCGCCTGCACTCTTCTCTGGACAATAGTGGACGCACTTTGATTTTTGCAGATGCTTCCCTTTGCCCCCTGAGCACACACACACACACGGAGACCCGTGTACGCTCCCCTGGGTGTGAAGCTGGACATTGGCCAGGAATCGGACTCCCGGCACGCTCTGTGCTTTCCTGCTGATGTGTCAGTGAGCAGATGTGTTATGTACAGTAGAACTGGCCTGCTTTACTCAGATTGCATTCTGCTGTTATCAGTAATTCCACAGGAAAACACTAATATCCCTCTAAAACGCTTTATCTCAACTGCCCGTCTGGCCTGCTTGGCCTTATTTTCCATATGTTGAGTCTTTATCTGCTTAACCTGTTAAAAGCTGTAACAATCATTCAGTTGAACGATATATCGAACGAAATATCATGGATTAAAGTGTACCTTCTGAAGGAATCAGCAGTGAGTAGATTCTAATGCGTATTTTACACTCCCCTACAATAAGAAATAGTCTGATGAACCACTTATGTGCACTTTACTACATACAACATAATACCTTTTTTAAGACGCTATGATTTGTCTTTATCCATTAAGGTATTTTAGAACCTTTGGAAGGCCTGTTATGTCAGTTTTTTTTGTTTGGGCTTTTTAAAAACTCTTTACTTATATTATAATAGGTGGATTAATAATTCATAGTGATAGCCCAAAACGCATTGGTGTTGCGGTTTAAGAAGGGAGCAGGAACATGGAGCTGAAATCTGTTCCATTTCAACCCTAGGTTTCAACAGTTAAACTGACAGCTTGTATTTTGTGGGAGAGAATGCGGTTTGTTCGCGGGCGCAGTATGTTTTAGAAAGAATGTAAATAGGATTTCCTCTCTCTCAAATCTCTCCCTCTCTTGTCTAACACAAAGACCTCCTCTAATGAGTCATCTCACTGCATGAAACAGTGTCTGCCTTTGTGTTACTCTCAGAATAGAAAAAAATAATGTTAGCCTCATAGATATCTGAGGTGTGTTTATGGCAAGATATTTAAGAATGAGTGTACTGTTTGTATATACCTTTGGGACAGTGCCTAAAAATTAAATTCTTAATAGATTTTGACAAAAATAATATAAAGTCTGCATAAGAGAACAGGGTCTTAACATAGAACCAGTTAAATATGCAATTCCTCCACTGAGAGGAAACTGCCGTGTGTTAGGGTACTAGCATTGCGATTATGTTGTATTGCAGTATGCCTTACAATATATTGAAAGTGCTTTGTTGAGTCTATAATGTAACATGGTTAAAAAAATTGACTAAACTAGTTTACTTCTGTTGGATTACATGTGATTGTGTAATTGGTCCAGGTGTTCACAACATGCAGAATTACGACTGATCAGAGAAAACATTTGCATATTGTAGCCCTCTATGACATCAGTGTTGCAGGGATCAATATTGCAAAAATATTTAACAAGTTATATATTGTACAGCGTGAGTGGGACTTGTTACTGACTAGCCAACTTCTGTTTTTTTAGGCTAACTTTTTTACTAGAAAATCTAGTTGAACACTGTTCATGTTAGGTTAGCTAACAGCTTTTTCTAAAATTTTCATCTTCGTTTTCCGCTTTTATTCATTTGCTATAATGAGAACCACACTGCTCAGCTCATAATACAATGATAACTGGGCATAGCTTTTATCTTAAGTGTGACCGTTAAAAGTTAATATGTTACAAACTAATAATCTTTAACTAGAGCCTTGGATGTGCTACATGACTTAAGACCTAACAAGTGAAAAAAGACTGCGTATCTCACACTATCCAACAAATTTCTGCACATTTTTCTAACTTCTTTAAGGGTTACATTGTACAGGTACTTGCTTGTGTTCCCAAATATGCTGTATACATGAATGTCTGTTGGCGGTTCATTCATTCATTCATTCATTCATTCATTCATTGGTTCGTTCATTCATTCATTCATTCATTTATTTGCCATGTTTCTTCTCCAAACTCACAGTTTTCTGGCTCTTGGTCCGTCGTTAGTTATACCGCATGAAAAAGATCCATTCGGACTATGTCATTAACCAGTATATACAGGAAGGGTTTGGCTGCGGACATGCAGTCTCAGCCTGATGTGCACCGCCGGCCTATAAATGACGTCAGTGCACGCTCTGCCACTTCAGTGTTTTGTCAGTTTCAGTAGCAGAAAGAGCAAACCATGTAGGCTTCTGTTGGGCTACATGTGTTACACTGAATGGATTTTAGCTTTGTCACGCTGATAATAAAGGAATTAAAGAATATGGTAATTTATAAAGTAAAACCTACTACAATGATATTAGACATTATGTTGTGTTTATTAATGGAAAAAGCAAACAGGCTGCTGCTAAAACTGAAATGAAAAATGTTTTAAATGGAGTTCTCTAGCTATGGTATGTATGGAAAGTGGATGAAGTGATATTGTTAATGAGAGTTTTCTGTTTCTATGATACTGTTTTAAGTTTACTCTTGACTCACTGAACAGAAGCAGCTATGTAACATGCCGTTGTGCCGCTTCTGCCTTTTGTGGCAGAGAGTGCATGTGCACGTGATGTCACTGGGGCTGAGAGTGCTTCTGGCTGAGAGTGCATGTCTGCAGGCAGACTCTATTAGTATATACTGCTAGATCACATCAAGTCAGGTACAAAATTAAATGTTTGATGTACATTGCCTGTTTTTCTCTCTCACCTGTCAACTCCAAATGCCACAAAACCTGCAGACCACAGCCAATCAGCACAGACTCACAGCTCTGACTGAGAATTGGGGCTGAAAATCATGTAACCTCAGCTTTAGTTTTCGTCAGCACTTTACTGCTCACCTGCTTGGTTATGATCTGATATCTCAGAGCATTTCGCTTCAGCCTCCTTAAGTGCTTTGTTTTTTACCTTCTGCTCATTGCATTGTTTTTTCTTTCTTTTCTTTCTTTTTTTGCAACATTGATAAGGAACGCAAACACTAATGAAATCTGTAGAAAACTGCCTATTGTATCAAAAAGCGCAAGATTCATACCACCCTACCCCTTTGAGGAAACTCACTAGCTGGTCAGTCACAGTCAGCAAATTGGGACTATACCATTTGAAGATTTGACCTCTGAATTACTAAACATATAGAATTGTTTGTAACATTTGCAGTTTTAGTGTGTGATTATTTGTAAGTTTATACGTTAGCCCACCACAATAATTCTCCCAGCTCTCCCGCAGTAGGCCTGCGCAGTTCTCCCAGGTGTGGTTTGTGTGTGTGTGTTTGTGTGTTTGTGTGTGTGTGTGTGTGTGTGTGTTAGGTTAATCTCTATCTCTTGTGTCTCAGTAGGTTGTCTGTCGTTAGTTGTGCTGCATGAAAAAGGCCCCAACGAACTTAAGGCAGTCACAAAGCAGCTGGTAGATTAACCCCCATATAGGGACACAGCAGCCTGAGGGTGACCACCCCACCCCACCCTTCAAACACCTGTTTGTTACAAGCACATACACACGTGCTTTAATATGACTGAAAATGAAAAGGGTGTGCTTGTTTTTTAATACTCTGTTGTACTTCATCTGTGCTATTTTGCTGGTCGTTTGACCCCATCAGATAGTCAGCATTCCTTGGCTTGGTGTGTTTGCGTGTGCACGTGTGAGAGTACACGTTGAGCCTCATTAGTGTATGGCGTTTTTGGTGGATTGTCGCAAGATATGACCGATGCAATCTGGTTGTCTTCCTGCAATCACTCTGTGCTTTTCCTCCCAGTGACATCCTAAGGTGGGTTCGGCAAAGCCCATGTTGACCTTTGTCCACACTTAACCAGAGTGCCAAGAATGAGGTCATGTCACGAATGTCCACAGCAGCTAAGGTGGGCTTGTTTCTATGATTTGATAAAGCTCTTATATATTTGGACCGAGATGTTCAGCAGTGATAAACATAATCATACAATTACATTTAGCATAATGTTACATTCGAACGTAGTGGTGTGGGAATAAAAGATAAGATTGAAGCAATTGTTGTTTTCCTGCAATCACTGCATGCATTTCCTGCCAGTGAAGTCCCAAGGTTGGTTGAGTCAGGGCTGCCCCAGCCTTTAGCCTCTAGGAGCCAAACTGCCCAGACTGACTGCAGAACACACACGTTGCATTTATGATTTAACACACACACACACACCCCCAGAGTTTTTGTGAGTGACCAGCTGAGCTGTTTTGCTGTCATTCTAATGTGATTGTCTTCCTGGATGGGCCATTAAGCACAGGGAGTCAAGGATCTCGTTTGTTGACTAGATGCCATGTATATAGCCGTAGCAACACTAAGTGCTTTTATTTTTAGTTCCTGTTATTTGCTTGTTTCCTCGATTGCTTTGTAGTCTTCCTGCAGGTGTTTTTTTAATTGTTCTTAATACCATGCACATGCCTGCATGAAAGAGTCAGTTTATTCTTGTTTTATACCTTTTATTTTTGTGCAAAAGAGGTGGATTGATGCAGTAACTTGCCTTTAGAGGTGGCACGACACTGACATTGAAACTTTGAGTACTGTCCCATGCCGATGCAATATTTAGAAAAAAAAACAACTAGGCTTTAAAATGAGTTTTTTTTTAATTGACACACTTCACTTAAGGAATGGTTTGGTAACAAATTAAATTTATGCGATTTTCCGCTTACCCTAGAAATAGCTGAGGTGTGTTTGGTGTCCAAACTTGGCTTCTTTAGATAAGCGCTTGAGCAACAAGGCTGATGTTGCTAACAAACACTAAATGCCCAAATCTTTTCCATAAACACGTTTGCGATTTCTGTCGTTTCTATTTATTAACAACACTGTGTAATATCACGAGTGTTAAAAAAAACCAACAAGCCCATGTAGAACA